GACAAGTTATATTTTTCTAGGAACAGGTCCAAAATCGAGGTAAAGTTATTAGTTTTGGGCTTTCGGGTTTTTGAGGCGGTTGCCATGGTCGTATTGATAATATATTGACATACTTATTCTTTCAAATTGAAATTAATTACCCGCCCCTTCGATAATGCTTCGCAGAGTACACAATGCTCTAGATCTTAGGAAATATGACTGCCCCAAATGAGAGATCCGAGTAGACATTCAGTTAAGTGGTCTTGGAATATATTTCGCATTTTTGAATGTTTATCTGATTTACCTGTAATAAATAGTGAAAGGAAAATTTAACACATAATAATATCAAAATTACCTCATATGGAACATCGTCTATCCTGCCAATATATCAAGAGTGATGGAACGATCTGTGGGAAAGGATGCTGGCGTAGCAGAGGTTGCTCTAGACATTTTAGATCACGTCCCAAAAAATTGTGCCCTATTTGTAACGAGCCAACCAATTCTCGTATCGGAATATGTAGGATTCATGATGAAATTTACAAGCATGTCTGGCATGAAAGTAAAAAAACTGGCCGTGCCTGCTTCGCCGATATTTGTCTCAATGAAGAGTGCCCCAATCCAATCAATGGACAAAGCTAAACATTATTTTTCGATTTAGATTTTTCAAATACTTAATATAGGACAACGAAAAAATCTGAACAGTGATAGGCAAAATCACATATATTATAAGTCAATAGATATTTTTTTCCATACGGATTACTTTACAACATAATCTGGTTCTACAATATAATCGGAATTGGAACCGGAGCTTGATTCTCTTCGATAACGGGATCATCTATTACATCGAAGAGTTCCTGAACCTCGTCAGCTGTCTTTGACTTATATGGCGGAAGCATTGGTGCACCTTTATCTCCAAAACCAATACCCTTATATGGTCGGCGGTTAATTTGGTATGAATACTCCCAAACTCGCTGTTCCTTATGTCCTATTTTTTTTCGTTTACTTTTTATGGTATACCCACAATAATTACCAACAATTGCATTAATTGCTTTTATAGCTGACTTAAGATCTGGTGCTTCTTTTGCACGAGACTTAAAGCCAAAGAGCAATAAAGATTGATTTCGAATTTCTATAAACCTTTCACGAGATGACTCAAATGCAACTTTCACTTGATTATCAGAGAGAATTCGATCATCATCTACACCAGTAAAACCCAATGATTGGAAAAGCTCTCGTACAGCTTCCCAATGATTCGCTGAATATGTCTTACGTAAGTCCTTTCCTACTGAATCCTCGAAATTATATTTAGTATTATGACAAGTATCTTCCCATTGCACAATGTCTTTGGCCTTTAATCCTTCTATTGCACTGTCTTCATCATAACCTTGGTTACGAAAATGGGACAATCGCAGGAAATGTTTTCGAGACTCAGGCGGACTAAAACGTTCTACAAATTCTTTATTGCAGAGTTTATTCCAAGTCTCGATACTCATATCATTTCCACCATAAAGATTCCACATATAAAAATGCTTAAGTGCCATAGTATCTGCAACTGAACGTTCTGAATCAAGTTTAAGGAATTCAGCTTCCTCAAGAGCAAGATTTCGAGAAGTGGCGACTGCATCAAAATCTGTATTCTTGATAACTAAAGCTTCAGCCTTAATCTCATTACGAACTTTTTTACGATTCCCTATAATCTCTTTATTTTCGTCCATTTTTATTAATTTAAGACTTGCTCCAGTACTGGCAATAAGGCTACATGAAATCTCGATAAAATTTCTTGCAGAGAGACGTTTCCGATGCTCGACTTCAATGAATGATATTACAGCAGGTGATTGATCAAGTTTGTAGGAAATAATATCTTTATCCCATTCACGATGTCCCTTTACTGCTGTATGTAAATCATTAGGCCGAGCAATTGCAAGTTCTGTACGAATATTTTCGTGGCCGGGTGGACGAAAAAGCTCATCGGAATTTTTCTGATAATAGAGAGAAATTATACGCTTTTTACAATCACGAATTCGGAACATCATCTGGATAAATGCTTCGATATTAACTGGTGTCGAAATATTTGTAATACCTATAACTATGTCAAAGTAATTAGGTTTCTCAAAAGAAATACCTGCTTCTACTGTATTTGTATAAGCTACACAATCAAGTTCACCCCAAGCTGTATTAATATCTAAAAAGTCATTTTTTCGTTGTTTTCCATCCATATCTCCATAATAGGCGCGAGCTTTAAAAGATAATTTAGAAGCCTTTTTTACTAATGCTCGAGCCATGTTAGAGCTAGTTACAACAAACGCTACGCGTTTACCTTGTTTTAGAAACTCAAATCCTATTCGCATAGCTTCAGCCCCGCTATTTGGATCATAAAGATACTCAACGGTCTTACCTATAAGAGGCTGAAATTTATTATCAATCACTCGAATATTTTCACCACGATAGGCTTTGAGGAAGGCTAATGTTGACTCGTTTGCAAAGGCGTCCATTGCTAAAACATGTTGGGCCGATTTTAACACATCACGCATCGCATTCTCGGATTCTCTTGCTTTTGCACCACTATTCATTTGGCGTTGAATTGCATTAACTTCATCTAAAACAGCTACAATTAGACGGGCAGAAAATTCGATACGAGAAAGGCTTTCAACTTGGACTATAATAACATCCCATTTATCTATAGATAAGTTCTGTTCGTCTTGATAATTACAGATTTTGAGCCCTAACGATTTAAGTTCATTAATTTTGCCTTGTGATTCATTACTAAGAGTTTTTCGATAAGAAACCCAGATGAAACAAGGTAACTTGGCACCACTTCCGGCTAAAGAATTGAGATTTTCTCTTAGACCTTTTGTTTTTCCTGTCATCATAGGAGAGCGGATAAGGGTTGTACTGGATTTTTCGCTCAAGAAATCTGGATAAGCTTCTGGTGCATCTTCCATTTCCTTCACGTTAATAATTTCTCCGGGTAATTCAGGAAGTGAACATGGATTTGATACAGCATTGGCTATTCTTTCGATAATATTTTGTTTAGGTGATTCAGCTACTCTCGTTGCTTCGCCAAATACTAATCCCTTGTGATCTGGTTTATATTGTTTTTGCCGAAAACATTTGAGTATAAAACGTCCGTCTTTTAGAAGAAACCCGTATAATTGATTTTTTTCATGTTTAACGTCACATATAGGGCATTCTTCAGATAATTGCGCATTAAAATTCATAAAACCCTTTCCGATAGTTCCAATCTCGAGCCACCCATATTTTGCAATAACCAAATTAGCTCCTTTAACAAGTGCATTATCATCTTCGATAGGCTGGAATTTATCGGCTGGCTTTTCAGAAGAAAAGGTTTGTGGCCAGATCACAGAATAATTCGATTTTGGTTGAACCAAATAATCCTCTAGCGAATGAAATTTATTTTTGATTGAAGTTATCGCAGGTCTTTTAATTCTTTTTTCTTTTGCTGATCCAAGAAGCCGAAGGCTAAAACGCGACTTGGGAAGGCTTACATCAATAAACTTCAAGTAAGGTTTTCCGACTAATTCGATAACTTTTTCCGTAAAGCCCTTAAGATCTCTATAATCTACGAAACGAGCGTAAGGATAAATAATATGCCAGCTACATTTGTTTGCATCTGATGAACTTGCCAAGGCGAAACTATTTAATGGTACCATGCCAAAAGTGGAGTATATTATATTTACAGTAACATCTAAAATCCTCGATATCAAATCTTGACGAGTAATTTTTTCGTTGTCTAAGTAAGGGATTTTAGGATTAGTGGGATCAAGTTTTTGTCTCGCATCGATATCAAGTATTAAGCAAAGGGGTTTGTTCCCATCAATACATTCATGCGTATCTGGCGTTCCATAAACTTCGGAAGGATGATCAATTACTGTAAAGCCTTTTTCTGCCACCCGAATTATATATTTAGAATTAATCTCTTCTGGACGATAGGCTTCGAAAAGCGAAATATCTTTTTCAAATGACCCTTTATTGTAAACATCGTCATCATAGTCTTCATCATAGTCTTCGTCATAGTCTTCATCATCATAATCTTTATTATTAGTTTTCCCTGTCTTATCGGACGGAAGTAGATTTTGAAAGTAAAAATGATTTGTATTACTAGGCTTGTAATCAAGGTCTGTTAAATCCTGAAACTCAATTAATGATTGCACTTCCATAGATGAGCTTTTTGAATTATTGAAAGAATCATTCTGAGACTTAGCTGGCAGATCGCAAGATTGAGCATATTCGAGCAAGATCGTTTCAAGAGAAGCGTCATCCTCCTCTTGTGAGAGGGTTGCAACTGTATCCGGAAGCAGAAGTGGATTATACGAATGCATGATATAGACGCTTTATAACTAGGTAGGTGAGTGGAACAAAGAGGTATAAATTACACAGAAAATTCAAAACTTTAAATAAAAATTCGTGTGATGGAATTATGGTGCAAAAGCGATAAATTTTTCGAATCGGTAGTACGCAAAAGTAATATATATGGTGCAAGTCACCTAGTCCCGCAACTTGCTGCGCCTCGTGGCCAATTTTGGGAAAAATCGTCAAAACTCAGAATTGTAAGTTATGCTCAAAAATGCAATAAATTTTTTATATCACGTGACCTTTTAATGGTGATACAAATTAAAAAAATATTTATATATTAACATATATATAATGTTATAACATTGCTAAAAAAATTTTCCTTCATGTGAAGAAGCCAATGCTCCTGCGGAGAGCATTCTTTGAGAGCTTTGCCCTCAAAGAATT